TTCTCAAGTATAGCTAAGCTATAAAAAATAAATGTCATCTAAACCAACTAAATTGAGAAATAACATAACCATCTCCAAACCTAATTTTGTTTAGCCCACACTGTTGGCTAGGAAATAGGCTTTGCTCATTTGACTTAGAGCTTCTATGTATATTAACTGATAGATTGGTGATATATGATTTTAAATAGCTCAAAGTAGCAGCTTTTATAGAAGAAGTTTGTGGGGAAATAAGCAGTGAGAAAAAGAGCTTCAACTGAGCTCTCATGAAGAAAACAGAAACTACACCATCTGAGATTGGACCTCTAAGAAATGGGAATATCTTAGCTGGACTGGTATCTTTCAAGGGTTGTGATGTGATGAGTCTGTGATGAGTATAAAAGAAGGAGGCTGGAAGCCACTGCTAAAGACAGGGTGACAGGCTATTACTGCAGAGGTGATGCTGGCAGCAGCTAAAACAAACGGAAAGGGACAAGTCCCTTCTCCCCTACTTCAAGAGAACTTATAAAAGAGATATGTAGTTTGCAGAGTCCCAGACCTAGTCTTACAAAACCAGAGTATAGAATTATGAACACCAAGCTGACTGACAAGACTTAAAAAAAAAAACAGCACAAATTAGCAAATTAAATTAGTCTTAAGCAATGGACAAAGTAACCATCTTCTGGCTTAAAAACTCAATATGATCAATCATATGCTGAAGATCTTAAAATATACTCCTTTTGAATTTGTCATTAGATAGGCATATATGTCACAAGAGCTATCACTTCATCATAATTTGGAATCCATATGGCATTACTTTAGGCTCTTGTATTTTGTCAGTGTAAAAATAGATACCCACTTGTCTTTATAGACCCTCCAGTCTAGTGAGTGAAAAATACAATAAATATAGAGATGACATGTCAGATGGCAAGTGCAATGAGCAAAACGGGATAGAGTCTGGAACAGGGTTAGCTCTTTCACAAGGGGCAATTCTATGAGAACTCAATGAAAGAAATTTGAGCAGAAACCCAAAGAAAATATGAGGGAAAAGTAGTATGATTTTATGGGGAAAACATCTTCTTAGAAAGAAACAGGTGCATCTAAGTGTAAGGATAAACATTTCATTAAGTGGAAGGTGTGGGGTTGGGGAAGGTTTGTAGTTTTTCACTATTTGCATCATTCTCTTTTAGAATTCTGTCAACTATAGTACCAAATTGAACATTCCACAAGTATGGTTCCTTTCTTCCACTATGGAGAAGCTTTTTTTCTTTTCTTTCTTTCTTTCTTTCTTTTTTAATTCCACAGGACAGAAAAACTTACTGGTAGTAATGGGAATTAACTGAAGTATAAACTGTCTAACCTGAACTTCATTTGTTTCAGCCAACTATGAAATTCGAACAATACTTTCCAACTTTCAACTTAAGTAAATGGAAAATGTCCAGTACTGTGCATGATTCTTCTTTGTTAAGATGACAACTTTTGTTTTTGAGGTAAGGGTTAATGAAACTTGACAAGTGGTAGTTCTTATAGCTGAAAGTGGGGCAGACACTATCAATACTCTTAGTCTAGAACAAAGAAAGTATTGTTGGCATGAAGAACACATAGCTTTGTATTCAGACTATTTCTGAAAAATAAATGTATACTGCATTATTCAAAGTGTCAGAAATATTAATTTTTATTAAATTAGCGATAAATTCAAATTTTAATATTAACAAATACTAATACATTAGCCATACTCATTCCTTCACCAGATATTCAAACAGATAAATGTCAATTTATCTGTAAAGTTAAAAAATCAAAATTGGTAGAATATCAGTATTGCTCTTAGGTCTACAAGATCACCAGGAGCCAGTGGCTTATAACTGTAATCTCAGCTATTCAGAAGGCTGAGATCTGAGAATCACAGTTTGCATTCAGCCGGGCGTTAAGGACCAGGACACTCTTTATCTCTAACCACCACTATCTCTAACAACAACAAAAGCCAGAATCAGAGCTGTGGCTTAAGTTGTAGCATGCTAGCCTTGAGCAAAAAAGCTCAGGGACAGTACTCAGGCCCTGAATACAAGCCCGAGGACAGGGACATACAAAAAGTTTAAATGATTAACATGAATTCAGAGTTCAAAAAGGAGTTATACTATGTAAAGTTAGATTTTATTTTATTTTTGGTACCTAGTAATAATTTCCAACAGAAATATTTAAGTTGGTTGGTTGAGTTTCATTCATCCAAGGCAAATGTAATTTAAGACTTTCTACTTACTTTCGTAAGTAGAAACGAGATAATTCAGTAAAAATTTCTTTACAATTCATTGTTTCACTACGTATCTCAGGCTGGTCTTTGGCTCCTGAATACTGACTACATGTTGGTGACCCAAACCTTGCTCTATATTTCAAGACAAATCTGGAGTGATCAGTGGTGTTTTTTGGGAGGTATGACTTTGGTTCTGTTAGGAAAACCTCTGCACATGGCTAGCAGTATTTGCAAAGCACTTAACCTCTTTGTCTAGGCTCCTCTAGCTGTCAAATGGATAATAGTAATTGTTTCCTTGCATGGAAAATACGCTTTGTGCTTTGACATGTGTGGTTGAAGATGCCATTTCAACACAAATCATTACTATTATCATAGAATGCATGTATGCATGTAAAACTCTAGCATAGTGTTCTTTTAATTATATCACATCTATAAACACTAGTATTCCATGCCTGGCCCTTTTTTTTTTTTCACTTGAGGTGTGAGAATATAATTATAGCATGCCACCACTCAATTTCTTCAGATATGGAAGCAAAAACTTTAAAGCTGCATATCATTCTCTCAAGAAGTACTAAAACTGCTAATTCCTTATAGACTCTGTAGCAAATTGCACAATAGACCCGATATTAAGCCTTTGGCACCTTTAAAAAGACTAACTATATTACTTTTCCTGGAGGCTGGAATCACCAGGGAAAGTCTAGGGAAATAAAATTGGCTACCAATATTAGAATTTTGGTTGTTTAACATTTCTGAGTCTCAGCAAAGTGTTAAAGTGCTATCTAAACAGATAATTAGCTAGTAGTTGCATGCACAGTGGGCTCTGTCTAAATTTAGCAGTGAAATTAGGTTTAGGGAATGTGAAAATAGAAGCATTTTTTTTTTCCTCAAGGGAAACGGTGGTGTCAGCGCAGCCCCGGCATGTCACAACAGTGGAATGTCACAATAGCTACATTTCGTCAATTATTATCATCATCAGGGGATTTCCCTGAGCGGCAGAGGACAAGGTTTATTCATAAGTGCATCCTGAGGATAGGAGATAGAAAGCAGTGCCTGTCAGGAGACAGGTTTCCCAGAAAGCCAGACTGGGAGGCAAAGGGAGGATGAGAGAACACCAAGGGGATGAAGAAAAAGAGGTCCTAGACCCAGAGCTCGGAGACAGAAAAAAAAAAAATGATATGCATTCGAGAGGGGTAGAATGCCATGGCACTTGGGAGGTGAGTCAAACCTTGGAGCCCAGTGGATGGGAAGACCGGAGGACTAGAAATTAAAAGCAGAGGACTGCGTGGTCTTGGCTTTGGGCAAGCTGTAGCGTAGCTGCAACAGGCTCATCTCTGCGTGGCTGAGCCTCGTTCGTCGCACGGAGCACAGACTGTGGCTATGCCAGGGAGTTGGGCCAGGACCTCCATACAGTGAATAGTGTCAGGCCTCGGGACTGGACTTCGTCCTCCTCTGCCACATGCGCCCCCCACGGACAGTTCAAGCTGTCCTTTCCCCGGACCCCCGCAGAATAGCGAGTGGGGGCTTCAAGGTCAAGCCACGTGGGCGACGTCACGGGACAGGTGGACGGTGTAGTGGACAAGGTAGTGGCGAGGTGAGGAGGGTGGCGGTCACACACACACACACACACAGAAACATTCCTCTTTTACAAATGTTTAAATCCTTCCCCGAGATCGCTTTTCTGCAAGAAAGAAAATGACACGTGGGCGAACATGCAAATGACCAAAAAAAAGAAATCCAAGAACAAAACAACCCATCACCACCACGCTGGAAGCCCTCGGAGAGGCGTCGGCATGGGGATCGGGGCTGGGGTGGACACCCGCGGCCTCTGGGGGCCGGGTGTCCGGCGCGGGACGTGGACAAGCCCGGCAGCCCGCCCGGGAGAAGTGAACGCCAGGGCAGGGCGAACTCCTCACCCGGCTTCGCCGACCCTTCCAACAGCTGCTGCCCTCCAAGAGAGGAGGAGCAGGAAAAAGACCCGTTGCAGACCTCGGTAAACAGGGGAGAAATAGGGGAAGGACAAACAAAACAAAACACAAAAAAGGAGGGATCGGGGTGCACGGCGGCGCCGGGAGCTGCCAGGAGAAAGTGGCTGCCCTGGGTCCCCCAGCGCCCCGGCGGGCGAGGAGCGAGGCGACGGGTCCGGCCGCGGGCTGCGCGCGCCCAGCTCCCCGAGCCTGGAACCTTTAGCCTGGCCCCACGGAGGAGCAGCCTCCTCCGGCCTTCCCCTAGCTCCCCACACCGCCTCCGGGAAGCCCCGCCACCGGGAGAAGCCGCTCCGCTCCGGAGAGACCCGCGTCGAGCCCTCGCGTCCCACCGCCCTGGCGGCTCCGTCTGCGCCCCGGCCACGCCGGGGACCCGCGAGGGGCGGAGTGGGCGAGACCATTGGAAACGCCGGGAGGGGGGGGAGGCGCGAAGCCGGAGTGAGGGGCGGGGCCAGCTAACCTATTCCAGATTGTCCTGTCCTTCCCGAACCTCTTCTGGGGGGGAGAAACCCCCGGTATCAAAGTGGATGAAGGGGTTTTATTTTTTTATTTTTTGCAGCGGGGAGGAGCGTCTGTAGGAAGGGATTCGGCTCGCACCCCGGGATCAGAAGGGGTTGCCCGAGTTGCCGGGGAGGGCGGGCGAGTCCCAGCGCCGGCTCCGAGGGTCGGCTCTCTTTCCCTGCCCCCCCCTCCCGCGAGGGCGGGGTGGTGCGTTCCGAGTTCCCAGGAGTTGGAGGCGGGCGGGTGCCGCGGGGGGAGGGGAGTGGCAGCGGCGGCGGCGGCAGCGGCGGCGGCGGGCGGCTCCCGCCTCAGCTTCGGCAGTGGCGTCGGCGGCGGCGGCGGAGTCGAAGCATCCGCGAGCGCTCGGCAGAGTGTCAGCCGGCGGCGACGGCGCAAGAGCTGGGAGTTAGGGGACACGCGCGCCGGACCTTCCACCGCCGCCGCGCAGCGGCCGCTGCTGCTGCCGCCACCCAGAGCCGGAGGCGCCGGGGCCGGGGCGGCCGGGGGGCGGGTGGGCGAGCCGGGGGGAGGGTGGGGGATGGCGCGGACTCCGGGGCCGGCCCCGCTGTGTCCCGGAGGCGGCAAAGCACAACTTTCCTCCGCCTCTCCCCCCGGGGCCGGGCTCCTGCTGCCAGCCCCGACGCCACCGCCGCTGCTGCTGCTGCTCTTCCCGCTGCTGCTCTTCTCTCGGCTCTGCGGTAGGTGAACGGCGGAGGCCGGCGCGGGCGAGGGGAAGGCGAGACCCCGGGTCCGGGTGCGGCGGCCGGGCCGGGCCGGGCCGGGCGGGATGGCGCGGGCCGCCGTCCGGGCGCGGAGGCAGTTAGGTTCGGCAGTTGGCTGAACCCGCGGGTGCCGCGGACTTTGGCTGGAAACTTTTCGCCGCGCCCCGGGGCGAGGCCGGGGAAAGGGGGCCGAGCCGGCGAGCGCCGCGCCGGACGCCGGCGTCCCGCTTCCCCCACCCCGGGCCCCGGGCCCCGGGCCGCGCGGGTCTCCGCGGTGGGGGGCTCCCGGGGCGGGGTGGTGGGGCGGGGGGTGCGCGGAGCTCGGCGCCGGCTCCCCGGGACCGTTACTTCCCCGGTGGAGTGAGCGGGAGCCGGGGCGCGGACTCGGGCTTGGAGTTGAGATGCCGGGATGCACGTTTGCCGCCTCTTTTTCCTCTCTTTCTTTTAATTTTCCTTTCCGTTCCCTTCACTCCCGCGAATCTTGAGCTGTGAACCTGGGGACCTGAAGAATCCGAGCCCCCGGGAGCGCAGCCTCAGGGGCCAGCCCTCATGGCCTTCCACCCGAGGGGAGGCTCCATCTTAACCCACCCTCTGCAGCATCCTCTACTGCCCGGCTGGCTGGCTGGCTTTCTCTTCCTTTCTTCCTTTCCTTTCCTTTCTTCTCTTTCCTTTCCTTCGTCCTCTGGCCACATTTTTTGGATCTCTCTGGATCAAGCCCTGAGGTGCTGGGTTCCAATTGTGGGACATCTCTACCTACCTTTGCTTATTTTTTTAACAAGCTCTGTTTTGTCCCTAAGACCGAGATTTATCTTTTAAATACTTGGTTGTGAAGGCACCAGTCGGGTCCTGACGGTTCTTAGCCAAATAGCCATGGGCTGCTTTCCCCAAGTCTGTCTTTTTCCTTTTTTTTTTTAAATTTAAATTACTGGATGGGAGGGGGAGGGAGATAGTTTTCTTGTCCTGTCTAGGAGGTAGTCTCTTGTTAAGTTCTGTTCCCGAGAGCTGAGGCCTACCTTTTAAAGAGCACGTAAAAGGGTCGGGTTGGGGGGGCGGCGGGGGGGGGGGGGGAACTCCTTTTCGTGAAAGAGAAATATAGGTGATAATCAGTGGACAGGGTGGTGATTTGGGAAAAGAAGACCAAGTCTTTGGTGACTTAAATATCTGGGTAATAGCAAAATTCTGCAGAACATTATTCATTCAAGATATCTTACTTGGTGAGAAAGGTGGGCTTGCTCAAAGACTGATCATGAAATCTTAGACTAAAAGGAGAGATGTGTGCAAATTTATTGGCTAGAGAGATTCAGAAGATAGGCTCCTCTTATTGGTGAGTCAGGGTAGTTGGTTATGAAGGAGGCAGAGGTAAGAGACCCAGTGAGTGAGTGCCCCTTATGGGCAGATAATTTCCTGTTCCAATTCACCACCACGTTTTCAGAACTATAATGAAAGTTTCTGATTTACTTGGAGTGTAGTATTATAAAGGGCATGTTATTTAAAGTACACCACATCTCTGATGTTTGGTCCTACGACAAGGTTCTTAATCTATTACTCCTTGGATAAAAGATTCTAGATTGAATTTGTGTGCTGTTCTTAGGTTCCATTAAGATTGTAGATCTGCTCACAGTTGAATTGGAGGGTAGTTGGAGGAAGTGTTAACACTTTACTATCCTTACAGTTTATGTTAAGAAACTCCACAGAGTTGCACTTGTGTAGTTGGACAAAAGCCATGGGAGACAAGGTAGGTGACAACTGTGGTGGAAGATAGAATTTGCAGTAGATTTCATAGTGGCTGTGTAAATGAGCATTGGTTACTATTTGAAGAAATACATGGTTTCACATGGAAGAAAGATTTTTGGAATCCTAAAAGTGTGATATTAGAGAAGGTGGATGTATTATTTTACAAAGCCTAAAATCTTAAGCAGTTGTAGTCAAGTGGACTTTGATTGGGAGAAGGTGTTAGAGTTTAGAGTCAACCCCTGGGTAGTTGTAGACATAGACACTAGCTTGTGTTGCTGTGCCCTGCTCATTTAAAGAGTTTCCTTATTTGGCTCATAGTGTTATAACACCCTAATTTGTGAACACTTATGGCAAGTTCCTTTTTTTTTTCCATCAACTTCTATTTTAGAATTCAGTAGGGCACACTTGTGATTTAGGGAGGCTTAGGGAAAATGGAAATAGAATTTGCTTCATCTTATTGCCCTAACCACTTGTTGATCTAACCATTAATATTAGTAATATTAACATTCATAGTACTATTTACTGCATGTGGTATGTACTCATGTTCGAGTAGACACAATTTTAGAGTTGAAAACATTTTTAGTCTCTAAAAAGACTACTCTGGTGGCTTATTAATCAGAATACTTATTTTTTCATATAACATTTTTGCTACTATTTTTTAATAAGTGTTTTACACTTGGCTTCACTGTAACTATGGTTTATTTTTTATCATGTTATTTTGTTGTATTATTCATACTGGTAGACCTCATTGTGAAAGCTATGTACAGTTCATGTCAGATTTGGTGTTGAGCATATGAGTATACACTGTCTTATTTGAAGAACTTTTCTTTTTTGGCAGTATTTGGTTTGAACTCAAGGTGTTGCACTTGCTAAGCACGTAAGCAGATGCTTCACAAGTCAAGCCCACACCCTGAGTCCTTTTCGTGCTAGTTATTTTTTGAGATAGAGTCTCACTTTTTGCTCAGCTTGGTCTGAACCACAGTCTTTCCTATTTACACTTCCTGACACAGCTGTGAGGACAGGTAGACACCAACATGCCTAGTGTTTTCTATTGAGATGGTGTTTTGATGGTGGCTTAGAAACTTGGTCCTCCTGATCTCACTCCCTGCGTACCTGGGATGATAGACACTCTTGTCACTGGTTGAGCCAGTCTCCCAACGTTTTTCCCTATCTAGTTTTGAAACTAGATCCTTCTGATCCTTGCCTTCCAAGCAGCCAGGGTTATAGGTGTTAGCCACCAGCACCTAGCACCTACATGATAAGCTGAACTTTTTGGAAACAGTATCTTACTACATAGCCCAGGCAGGCCTTTCTGCATCAGCGTCCTAAGTGTTGGTAGTATAGCCAAGTATCACCGTTCTAGTTTAAGATTAAATTTTTATTTATTTATTTAATTTTTTGGTGCCAGTCCTGTGGTTGTAACTTAGGATCTGGGCATTGCCGCTGAGCTTTTTGTGCTCAAGGCTCTACCACTTCAGCCACAATTCTGCTTCTGACCCTTTTGATGGTCAACTGGAGATAAGAGTCTCATGGACTTTCCTGCTTAGACTGGCTTCAAACCATGATCCTCAGATCTCAGCCTCCTGAGTAGCGGTGATTACAGGAGAGAACCACCAGTGCCTAGTAAACTGAACTTTCGAAAGGACAGTTTTACAGATTGACAAACTGCCAGTCTTTTTAAGTTTAAAATTCCTTGATATTTGGTTAAAGAGGCTAAGTAATTTCATACAGTCTTTAATAATGTTGTCTGTGAAGTAATTCATATAGTGTGTGATTTTCTATTTGTGGTATTGTATTGCCAAAGCTTTTGATTTTTGCAGCATTTAGTATTTTGGATTAGACACATTACCTATTCTTAGGTGTATTTATATATTTGTAATTTTAGTGACTCAACAGCTGATATGCATCTTGCTTCTGAATAGCTAAGAAATATAATTTGTCAGGTGTTGCAGTTATTTGACAGTCAATGAAAAAGAGGCAGTGACATCCTTGCTAAAAATAGTTTTTCATATTCTTTTGTTTACTTGTCAGTAAATAATGTTTCTGTAGTATATTTTGTAATCTGTTAAAGTCTTCATAAAAGTTATCACTAAGTAATATATGACTTGGGGAACATGTGCATTAGTATATAAACGTAGGCACAAATAAAATAACATATCAGATGGAACTGTGAAGATAATCTTGTGTGTTAATCATTCAGATCCAAAAATTGACCATTGTTTGCAGTGAATTTTACTATTTAATATATTTTTGTTTAAACTTTCCTTTAGAAGTTTTGAGGCATTCTTTCTTGAAATTCATTTAGCTTATGATTTTTATGTTTGTAATAAGCTCTGACATAGTTGAATCAATACTGTATTTTCCATCATTTTTATTTTGGTGTTACTAAGGGTTGAATGGAAAACTTCCAACTTGCTAGGCAAGTGCTGTGTCAGTTGAGCTATACCCCTAGTCTTTCCACTTTTAATATTTTCTTTTCTTTTTTAGGTACTGTGTAGATCTTTTGCCTGGGCCTTTAATCCTTCTACCTCTACTTTTCCTAGGATAAGAGGCATATATTTTGCCCTACTTGGCTTATTTTGAATACAGCTCACTAACTTTTTGCCTGGACTAACTTCAAACTGATATTCTGTCAACTCAGCTTCCCTAGTAACTGGAATTGCAGAAGTTTACTACCACACTAGGTCATAATTATTATTTTAAATAAAGTTTGTATCAAGTCTTTTTCAAGGGTAGACTTCAAATTTTTTTCCCTAAGTGGCTCATTTACAATGTAGGTCTTCAGTTTAAAATTTAGTGAGTCTATGTATTACCCATATTGCAGTTACTGTTATTTATTTTAGTAACGTTAATTTATACTAGATTTTAATTTTTACTTGTTTTATACACCCTAGGTGTATGAAGTATTTTGTACAAACCTGTTAATCAATAGCCATTCATTATACTAAGTAAAAGAAGGAAGAACTCTTTCATTATGTGTAGATGTTCATAAACTAGAATTTGATCCATGATGCTGTGAATAGCTAAGAAATGACAGTATGGTTTTAGCACTTCATAATTTGTAGGTTTATACATCCTATGTATGCATGAGACTGTAGATAGAAGTTATAATAATTGTATTTTTATCTTACTTTTTTTTTTTTTTGGGTCCGGTTGTGGGGCCTGAACTGTGGGCCTGGGCGCTGTCCCTCAGCTCTTAGCTCAAGGCTAGCACTCTAGCCACTGCGCCACTTCTGGCTTTT